CTATTACTACTTCTATTACTACTAATACTACTGCTGCTCCTGCTGTTGCCACTCCTGCTACAGCCACTACTGCAGTACAGAGAGTATTGTAGTAATTGTACACAGTTCTGTAGTACTTGTACACAGTACTGTAGTACTTGTACACAGTTCTGTAGTACTTGTACACAGTACTGTAGTACTTGTACCTGGTGCAGACGTTGTGTTTGTCGGACTTTGAGGTTGAAGAAGTCGTCCGTCTCGTCTTCCTCCTCTTCATCAGCGGCAGCTCCTCTCCTCCACCTCTCCTGCTCTGAACACACACAGACCTGGTTTAGACTTGGTTCAGTCTCCTGGTTTAGACCTGGTTTAGTCCCGGTTTAGTCCCAGTGTAGTCCTGGTTGAGTCCTGGTTTGGTGCTGGTTTGGTGCTGATTCGGTCCTGGTTGAGTCCTGCTTGTGTCCTGGTGTAGTCCCGGTGTAGTCCCGGTTGAGTCCGGGTTGAGTCCAGATTGAGTCCTGGTGTAGTCCTGGTTCAGTCCTTGTTTAGTCCTGGTTCAGTCCTTGTTTAATCCTGGTGTAGTCCTGGTTTAGTACCGATGATGGCGGTGGAGGGGGGGCAGGGCCAGGACTCGGTCTCGATGGCTGACGGTTGGTTTGGATTCGGAGCCTGAGCTGAGGGAAACTTGGACGACTCGATGATCAGATCCTCCATGTGTCTGAGCGGAGGAGGAGACGACGACACTACGACAGACAAAAGAATGAGAAGTAAATTTCACACAGAAGATGAAGTTTGTAAGATGAGGACACAAGGGCAGGTGCAGGTGCAGGGGCAGGGGCAGGGGCAGGTGAAGGGGCAGGGACAGAGGCAGGTGAAGGGGCAGGGACAGAGGCAGGTGAAGGGGCAGGGACAGGTGCAGTACCTTGTTTGTAGATCGGAGGTTTCTTGTAAATGTTGGTGCCATTTTCTACAACAGAACAAACAGATCAAGAATTATTATTATTATTATATTATTATTATTATTATTATTATTATTATTATATCAGTCCCGGTCCAGTCCCGGTCCAGTCCCGGTCCAGCCCCGGTCCAGTCCTGGTTTAGTCCCGGTTTAGTCCTGGTCCAGTACCTGGTCTGTGGAAGTGCTGTGGGGGGGGTGGGGGGGTCTTAGTCAGGGTGGGAGTGGGCGTGGCCTGTGGGGTTGTGGGCGTCGACATGCTGCTGTGGGTCCGGCTCTGATTGGTGGAGCTGGGAGAAGACCCGCCCCCTGAGCGTCTGTCCAGCCAATCACGTGTCTCCTTCAGCATGTGCTGCAAACACACAGTAAACATCAGGTCAGGTGTCGCCTGTCATGGGCCTGTCACATCTGCAGGTGTTCAGGTCAGGTGGCGCCTGTCATGGACCTGTCACATCTGCAGGTGTTCAGGTCAGGTGGCGCCTGTCATGGACCTGTCACATCTGCAGGTGTTCAGGTCAGGTGGCGCCTGTCATGGTCACCTGTCACATCTGCAGGTGTTCAGGTCAGGTGGCGCCTGTCATGGACCTGTCACATCTGCAGGTGTTCAGGTCAGGTGGCGCCTGTCATGGACCTGTCACATCTGCAGGTGTTCAGGTCAGGTGGCGCCTGTCATGGGCCTGTCATATCTGCAGTGAAAAATCCTCTGCAGCAAGAAAACATTTTCCATCAGAAACTCAAATCCAAATAAAATAACTGCTTATGAATGTTTCGTTTGGGCTCACTCTGCTCCTGCCATGTCCTCTGTGAACTACACCTGACGCACCTGCTGCACCTGCTGCACCTGCTGCACCTGCTGCACCTGCTGCACCTGCTGCACCTGCTGCACTGGACTCACCTTGACCCATTGACTCCAGGTCTTCCTGTTCCACTTCATAGGTTTACTATTTGACCCTCTTTTCTTTAAACTGTTTTAAAGCTGGAGACTTGAACAGAGGAAGTGTGGCTCTTACCTCTGGAGAGGGAGGAGGGGACACGGAGTACGGAGACAG